TTTTTTGAGGAACAGATTAAACGTATTTACTGTTAATCATCCTCTCCACCATAAAACCCATTCAAAAGCTGCAGTCTCAAGTTACGACAGGTTTGACTGTGACATCAGCGATGCCATTGTTTGTCATGTGAAGGATTGCAACACATCAGATTCTTTTGAACTTTCCATTCGTCAAAAATCCTGGAGAAAAAAAAACATCTTCCAAAAATATCAGGCAGCACAACTGTTATTATCAACATTGATAATAATCAGAAATGTTTCTTGAGCAGCAAATCAGCATATTAGAATGATTTCTGAAGGATCATGTGACACTGAAGACTGGAGTAATGATGCTGAAAATTCAGCTTTACATCACAGAAATAAATTACATTTTAAACATACAACTATACTATATTAAAATGTAAATATTATAAAACATATTGCAGTTTTGGAAAACTGTCTCACATCAGTCAGACATGATCATATCTGAAGGCTGCAGAGATTTATATGATGTAAAGCGAGAATGTGATAGAAGTCACCAAAGTGAGGCTTCCCTCACGAGACGCTCTCTTCTGTCAGCGGACTGCAATTGCTGTCATTTCAGATCCTGAAGGACCTCCAGGTGTGTGTGAGTGTGTGTGTGGGCTGGCAAAATCACTCTGGACCCCTCACATCCAGCACACTCCCTCTTTGAACTGTAGCCGTCTGGTCGGCGCTACAGAGCACTGAGCACCAGAACAGCCAGACATAGGAACAGTTTCTTCCCTCAGGCAATCGATCTCATGAACAGCTAACTTGGCAATAAACGTGTAATACACAAAACTACTTATACATTTATTTATTTATTTAACATACATACCTCTTTATACATTTCCTTGCATTTGTACATAACACACCTGTACACACAAATACCATCTATTGTTTACTTTGTATGTTGTGTATTTTTTTATTTTTGTATATTGTTATTTCCTATTGTTATTTTTTTATTATCTGTGTCTTGTCTCGTCACTGTCATCCTGATTCTAAAGGTAAATTACTAGAATAAAACTGCAGTAAATGGTAAAACTATTTGAGCTATGTGCTATAATTTATGATTATTATAATGAATTCAAATCATATGATAACAAATCCCAGTTTGCAAAACCAAACAGCAAAACGGGTTGTTTTTATACAGGTGAAATACCGGAAGCCTGTTCTGAACATTCAAGTTACAAATGGCTGTGCATGCTCTTACGTTAAAAATAAGGTTGAAGGCTGAATATTATTGCAATAAGGAGATTAGTTTGACACACTCATGTCTGACTGATAACAATACTTCCTGATTCTAACATTGAAACATGCATTTTCTGTGAAGCTGCTATACAAATCAAGTAAATAAAATGAACAGATGTAGATTTGTATATTTTGTTTCTGTATCCGTTTCCGTCAAACACACTCATCAAGAAAATAAATCACAACTGCATCACCATCAATTCAACTCATTTCTATGTTTCAAGACAAAACTTTAAGGGTTACAATTACAATTCATTTACTCTTATGCGTGAGCCTTGGCTATCAAAAAAGAAACGCATCATTAAAGTAGTTCACTCTTGCACTATATTTCATATTGATTTCATAAGCTATTTGATGTTTGCTTTCTCTTTGACAGACAGCCAGGCACCAGGCCATTTTTTTTGAGGAACAGATTAAACGTATTTACTGTTAATCATCCTCTCCACCATAAAACCCATTCAAAAGCTGCAGTCTCAAGTTACGACAGGTTTGACTGTGACATCAGCGATGCCATTGTTTGTCATGTGAAGGATTGCAACACATCAGATTCTTTTGAACTTTCCATTCGTCAAAAATCCTGGAGAAAAAAAAACATCTTCCAAAAATATCAGGCAGCACAACTGTTATTATCAACATTGATAATAATCAGAAATGTTTCTTGAGCAGCAAATCAGCATATTAGAATGATTTCTGAAGGATCATGTGACACTGAAGACTGGAGTAATGATGCTGAAAATTCAGCTTTACATCACAGAAATAAATTACATTTTAAACATACAACTATACTATATTAAAATGTAAATATTATAAAACATATTGCAGTTTTGGAAAACTGTCTCACATCAGTCAGACATGATCATATCTGAAGGCTGCAGAGATTTATATGATGTAAAGCGAGAATGTGATAGAAGTCACCAAAGTGAGGCTTCCCTCACGAGACGCTCTCTTCTGTCAGCGGACTGCAATTGCTGTCATTTCAGATCCTGAAGGACCTCCAGGTGTGTGTGAGTGTGTGTGTGTGTGTGTGTGAGTGTGTGTTTCCTTTTCCCCCTCTAATCTCATGTGAATAACCACACATGCACATGCATACTGCCAATAATGCGTGCCGCTATGAGAATGTGCAATAAAAAAGTGTTGCATGTAAAGAGCTCAGGGCTTTTACTACATGAGTAATTTCCAGAGAAGTTTATGTTGTAATGCAATGCCAGCAGGCAAAAGCAACTGTAACCTTAAATCTCAGGCAGCACTGCATGCCTTGGCACATTCAAACACTGCGTCGTCGTCTTTGAAAACATCTATTTATAATTTGAAAGCTATAGCTCAGATATTATCATTATGAATGACTTTAGCTTCTTAAAATCAAGCTTCTTTATTGGCATCTGGCTCCATGAAGAACCTTTAACATCCATGGAATCTTTCCATTCCACAAAAGGTTCTTAGACTTTTAAAATGTTCTTCATACCAAGGAAAAATTATTTGAAGAACTGTTCCCTGAAAAGTTCTTTGGAGAACAAATAATGGTTCTTCTAGAGATTATAATGCAAAGATGTTGCACTGCAATAACAAAAACAGGCACTCATTAATCTTTATATAATATGGAAGCCTGTTTCTGACACAGAATAAAAAAAATCATGTAATTGTGACCTTTTTATCTAACAATTAGGACTTTGTTTCTTGCAAGTCTGAGAAAATGTTTTGTTTTTTTTGCAAGATATAAACAAAATTCAGACTATTTTCTTGCAATTCCTATTTTTTTTTACTCTAGAATTCAGAGTTAACATCTCACGATTCTGACTTTGTTTCCCCTCAGAATTTTTCCCACCATGGAATCAAATGAAAAAAGGTAATTGTGACTTTTATCTCACAATTCAGACTTTTCTTTCTCGCAAATGTGTTTATATCCCACAATTTACACCTTTCTTCTTAGAAGTGCAAGTTTACATCTCAAAATTCTACAATTAGGCGAGTTTTCGTCTTACAATTATATATATTTTTTTCTAAAACGGCAAGAAAAAAAAAAGACAATCGATAGACTGAAATCAAAATCTGCAATTATTTTTTTATTCTGTGGTGGAAACTGGCTTCCATATTAAAGCACAAGACTCTTATATTACAAACACAACTGTTTGTAGCTTGGGAATCTGTTCCTCGGGTCAAAGAAGCACTAATGCATCAGTTGCACACAGTCTCTTTAATAAAAAATGCAGTTGATCTATTTATCATGTTCTGTTCAGCATATTTACAGTCCAGTAACAACTTTTTACACATGCAGCATGAGATTTAAACAGTTTATAATAAATAACATTCATCCTATAGAGATGAAACGCTCAGATATTATTTACAATAGCAAAGTGTCAGCATGCTGGTGTTCTCAAAACACTGAACAATCAGATCAAACCCCTCCGGATTCCTTACAAATCAGAGATTCCCATCACTCCGGCTGTGTTCAGAGCAGCATACTAGCATACTAGTTCTGCAGTATATAGTATGTGCACTAGACACAGTACAACCTTCTGCATTTCCCAAAATGAGCAGCATAACATTGTGTGGAATGCTGCATCCCACAATGCAATGCCTTCGACTTGACCTTTCATCTCCAGTGTGATTTTTAATATCATCTTGAATCATTATTTGATCAGACAGCCAAATGTTAAGACATTAAGACAAAAAATGGATTGAAACTGTAAAACAATCAACAAGTGACAAACGTAGCCTGCTACTGCTAGAAGTATTCAGTATGCTAGTATTCCACTCTGTACAGAACCGCTGTGATTCACAGCAAACAGCAAACCTGTGCCCTACAGAGCGCAACTGCAGTAAAAATCCCATTCATTTTCTCCATAGGGAACTGAATTTTAATGATAACTTATAAACCATTAACAACAGACCTACTAGAAACGAAAAGGTTGTTAATTAATGGAATATGCTTTTGTTGAAGCATTATTCCAGCGTATTTTTGAAATGATCATGTTTAACAGTGGAATTCCTGGTGAAAAACTACATTACCCATGATTCAGCAGAGAATGGCATCAAGCAAATTTGCAATAAAAGAACACTTTCATATCCATATATTAAAAATATATTTCATATTTATATATGTTTTATTAAACTAACATTTTGGTGCACCTGCCAATGGCCAGTGACATGAGAAATGTTATTTATTTTTTACTGGCCATGAAACTGTATGTGCATTATTTCATTAAAAAACAGACAGAACAAATTGGGGAAACACATCTAATTGCAATTTTTATTATTGTTGTTCATATTTTTTTTAAATGTATTATGTAATAATTAAACAAATCAATAAAGAAATATCACTCTAATACCACTGAACTGTAAAATAATAATTGTAATTAATAATAATAATAACAACAAAAAAAAGCTTTAATGTTTTAGAACCATAGAGCTTTTATTTTGCTGGAAACCCGCAGATTTATGTGACATTTTATATAAAATTACATAGTTTTATAATTACAACGCAGTCTTTGCGATTTGTTAACTGCGCAAAACTATATCGCATTCTCAGGCATTGATTGAATTAACAAAACAATTTTTACAAAAGTTTTTCAATGTTATTTTTTTTGTCCTTCAAAACCTTTTTAAAATCCCTTTGGGAAATAATGAATATCACTATAATACCACTGAACTGTAAAATAATAATTGTAATTAATAATAATAATAACAACAAAAAAAAGCTTTAATGTTTTAGAACCATAGAGCTTTTATTTTGGTGGAAACCCGCAGATTTATGTGACATTTTATATAAAATTATATAGTTTTATAATTACAACGCAGTCTTTGTGATTTGTTAACTGCGCAAAACTATATCGCATTCTCAGGCATTGATTGAATTAACAAAACAATTTTTACAAAAGTTTTTCAATGTTATTTTTTTTGTCCTTCAAAACCTTTTTAAAATCCCTTTGGGAAATAATGAATGGGAAAAATACTTCTGGAACCAATGCTGCTGAAAAAGTGGGCGGGAACTGTTCCACTCCATTATGATCTCACTAAGTGGGTGGGGCTTCACAAGGCCTGCCGTTTCATTGGTTCTCGTCTCATTGCGTGTCACTTCTAAAGCAGCCCATCCTTCATCCAAAGGCACATCTAGTTTGCTGATTAACTTGAGACAAAGTTGATCAAGTCGGATAACCAGCATCACACCTCATAAATCTCTTTCTTGGCATTTAAACACACGCGCACCCACACACACACACACACAAGCTCATGAATGCAAAAACCCCTTAGTTTCGTTGAATTCTGATGCATTCTTGGTCCATGAAAGTTAATGTACTCATATATCAGCAAACTTCTAAATGCCCAGGGCTGAATAAATATGTTTATGCATCCAGCGTGTGTGGCATTCAATCTGTTTGTGTTTATGTGGATGTGTATATATATATATATATATATCTATCTGAAATGTGTATGTGGCCGAGTCCTGCAGGATTATATTGCCTACAGCAACAGTCCATATGTGTGTGTATTCCCTCCAGTTGCTCCTGTAACCACGTTCAACACCTGTATCTGTGTGCGCCGCACAGAAGTCAATTCTCCGTCTCACACACACACACGCGTTTACACAGCTACCTCCTTTTCCTCAGACTGCTCTCCAAGCGGCCGAGCTCCTCGTATCCCTGGTAGAAGAGCTCGAGCTCGCGGCCTCCCCAGCTCCTCCAGACAGCCAGGCACCAGGCCATGTTTTCGTTACGGAAGCCGCACACAATGGTGTCCTTTGCGACGAGCGCCGCCTCCGCCAGAGTCCTGAGAGACGGACGAGAGAAAGAGTGAGCGAGAGCTTTCGCTGAAAATAACCCGAGCGGCGGACTCTTCGCAGAACTATCACAGAGGAGCAGTTACAGGCCTGAAAGCCTCGACTGTGTGATGAATGTGTGTTTGCGCTGAGAGCTGACGGCAGTCCGACAGGGACAGAGACTAGTTTATGATAAACACTTCATAGCAACGCTTTAACTTCAACTAAAGCTCCTTCTGAAAACCCACAAACACATTCTAATAAAGCTGGTAGCCATTCACATTTTCTTCAAAAAAGTTGTGATTATTAATACTAATTGAATGATTTATTTTTAGCATCCTGGCTGCTTCTCGATACTGTAATTGATGACTTCCTTGTTTTCTCACTGGTCCGTGATCAAACGCCGCCATGATGAAGGACGCATCAATTCTCTAATCGAACCGTGAGAAGGTGAGGAACAAGGAGAAAGGAGGCTTCCAGAGGAGATGCGCAGGTGCAGATCTGTATTATAAATCTATATCTGACACACAAATACATGCTCCTGTCTCTTCACGTCTGTCACAATAGTTTTAAGTCATGTTTCACCTGTAGGGTTGAAATAAAAAAAGAAAGGAATTTCATGTATTGCAGATCAAATTTTTGTTCAATAGAATTTAAAATAAAGAAAAATGTTAAAATAAAAAATTAAATTATTATAAATAAATAATAATTAATACAATTAAATAAATTATTTATTTAAAAAAAATATATATATAACTGAAATATAAATAAAATAAATATATAATAATAATAATATAATATTTATATAAATATAAATAAATAAGCTAATAAGCTAGTTTAAAAGTATTGTAAAAATAAATATCATATTTAACAAACAAACAAATAAATAAATAAATGATTATGTGTAGCTGGAAATTTCTGTTCTATACAATAACAAAAAAAATTTAAATTAATAAATAAATCATATTTAAAAAATAACACATACAAATTATATATGTGACCCTGGACCACAAAACCAGTCTTAAGTGTCAGTTTTTCAAAATTAAGATTTATACTAGGGATGCACCGAAATGAAAATTCTTGTGCCGAAGCCGAAACCGAACACGGTTTTTCACGTTTTTTTCCCCATGTATTTTGCCAAATTTTTTTTCACCATTGCATAAATTAAAAAGCCAAAATGTGCTTTTTACTGTTTTGTCTTGCTTTTCAAAGAAAAAAATCAATTACAAAACAACAATTTAATAATATTTAACACTGAACATTTTTAACATTCTAGCAGACACTATACCAAAAATCTATAATTTTGACCCACACAATGTTTTTTTGGCTATTGCTACAAATATACCCCAGCGACTTAAGACTGCTTTTGTGCTCCAGGGTCACATATGAGAAATCTGTGTGTCCCGAGGAATCAGTGCAATTAATTTGACTCAGTTGAGACCTTTAGGGCGTGTGTTCGTAAAGGACATTTACAAAGGTTTTGTCTGCAGTCTAAATGAAGGCGTACGAGCACACTTTAATGTGTGTTCACTTGAAGCTGCTGGGCTCCTATGAGACGTGTGTCTGCTGTGACACAGATGTGTGTGTGCATGGAATATAACAGGTTTATGAAGAACTGAACTACAACTGATCATTTTAGCCATCTCTCTTTTCAAACTAACGATTTCAGCTTTTAGAGGAACCCATTCATCTACCGTATTTTGGTGCAAATGCATGCAGCTTTAAATATTTTAAAATTAAGATATGATTGTCTTTCATCTAGCAGAAAGCGTGCTTTGAGAGTTTCTCTCTCAAAAATCAATGCAGAAGTCGTCTGCAGAATCTGTCTGGGCTGGTTTAGGGCATCACTGATTTTGGTATGCTTGCTACAGGCGATCGGTGTCACGAACAGTGTGGAATGGTGTATGTGGACACTGTGTGGTTATTAATGTGTGACTGGCCGCTGACACACGCACCCGTACTCGGACACTCCAGGCGCCGTCAACACGGCGATCACACGAGCCCTGAGCGCACCCGCCTGCTCCTGCACCTCGATCACCATGATGTCTCCTCCACGCCTGCGGAAACACACAGAAAACACACTGTCATTTTACAACTCACAATCACACACATTCACACAGCAGAATTAACACACACAAATATTTCAAAATAAATAAAACACTAATATATAGCTAGTTTAAATGTAAAGGTTAAAAAGTCAAATAAACTATGTATTTAAAAATAGATAAACATATTATATATAGCTAGTCATCTTTTTGTTCAAAACAACATAAAAAGTAATATTAATAATTAAAAAATATTATAAATATTAATATTAAGCTAGTCCAGTTTTTGTCAATATATTATTAGAAATGAAAATGAACCATATTTAAAAATAGACTAAACATATTGTATATAGCTAGTCGGTTTTTGTCAACACAATATAAAAAGTAATGTTAATAATTTAAATAAACAACACATTTATTTAAAAATAAAAAAATGATTTTATATCTATTAATTAAAATCAAATAAACCTTATATTTAAAAAGAAATAAATAATTTAATAGAAGGCACATTTTTGTTGACAATGTAATATTAAAAGTGAAACATAATTAAAAATAGATTAAAATATTATATATAACTAGTCATTTTTTTTGTTCGACACAATATAAAAAAGCAATGTGAACAATTAAAATAAAAAATATATTTAAAAATACATAAAATGACTTTATATTTACCTAGTTTGAAAATAATGTTACAAATTAAAATTAAAATAAACCTTATATTAAAATTAAAAAATAAATAAAAATGTATAAAGCTATTCAATTTTTTGTTGACAATATAAAAATAATATATTTAAAATAATATATTTATAAAAAAATATATAAAATAATATATATACAAATAATATGATAAATAAATAAACCATATATTTAAAAACAGGTTATCCAATTTTTTTGATCAACACAATATATAAAAATAATGTTAACAATTCAACAATTTATTTAAAAACAAATAAAATAACAATTAAAAAAAAAATAAAATAAAATAAAAACGATTTTATATATATATATATAGCTATTATAAAAGTAATGTTAAACATTAAAATAAACCTTATATTTAAAAATAAATAATAAACAAAAATCTATATAAAGCTAGTCAAATTTGTTGACAATATAACATTACAAATGAAAATAAACTGTATTTGATATAAATAATTCTATGTGTAGCAAGTCAAGAAGTGATATTAACTAAATGAAAATAAACTGTATATTTCACAGAGTAACAGTGCATGCTGCTTTATCAAGATTTACTGAGAATGTTTCAATTAAACAAAATCCATTCACAGAAGTGCAGATTCCTGACGATGCTCTGAATTTTCCATTCAACAGATATATTTCTCTGCATCTATTCCTTCGTCCTGGAGGAGTTACAGGATGCAGAAAACAAAACAAACAAACAAAAAAACGAGAAAACTAGGATGAACTAATAAGGAATAAGGAGCTCCCAAGTGACCAAAATATTTTTAAAGCCACTAAAAGTTCATTTTCAGGAACAAACACGTCTTTATTAGGGCTCCCAGATGTGTAGTTATAATAATAAACGCTGAACAATACCGTCTGCCGATTTATTATTTCATTGTTTGAATGAATGAACACATTTCACACTGATAAACAATAGTGAACTCTCGCGCTCATGAAAGAGATCTAACCTAGTTTAGAAGTAGCAGGAAGCTCCTTTTATAAATCATGTCTTCATCGGGGGCCTCGGTTTCCCTTGAGTTCAACACGAGGCACCTGTGTGACCTGATTGCTCTGCGGTGTCTGGGTTACGGAAAATGAAGTCCAACGCCTCCCTGAGACTCACATTATAATGCATTTATATTCATGAATAAAACATGGCCATTTTAATGCGCACTCCTGAAATAACACTTCATTCTTGCCCTTGATCCTCGCTTTAACCAAATGCTTAATTGATGCAGGACACGTCCCTTTGTCGCTCCTGGAACAACATTTATCATAGTCTGAATTAATGACAGATCTAATTCTACACAAACAACTCCAATCACGCAGTTTTAGGCCCGAGCTAAGTTCAGAACAGCCTGTGTCAGCTGAGAAACTGCTATTGAGAAGAAAGGGACTCTTAACACAAGCGCTGCTCCAAAATCAGCGAACGCTGACACATGAAGTGAATGCCCAACCTCTGAAAATCAGGTTAGGCAAGGCAAGGCACTGTTATTATTGTAAAGTTCAATAAACAGATAAAAAAACAAAAACAAAGTTTAAGTATTTTTAAATGTAATAATCATGTTTTTTTTTTAAATAATAATACTGAGAGGTATGATGAAGTGCGAGTCGTACCTGGGCACCCAGATGGTGCTGTTGACAGGAATGATGTTCAAGGCCTTCAGCTGCGCTGGTGTGTGGCTTTGAGCCGCTAGTTCTGGATCTGTTGCGCTCCTGGATGGACATGATTCAGGTGAAACCGGCTCGTCCGGCGGTCTGTCCGTCTCCTCGAAGTCTGCGGATAAAGGCATGCTGCTGGAGCTGGTCAGAGAGCTGAGGGCTCCCGAGCTGGAGCGCTCGATGTGAGGGAAATGGCCGATCTGATCCAGCTGCTCCGAGCTGAAGCCGGAGGACGTCATGGAGCAGTAATCCAGCGAGTCCTGCTGGCACAAGATCTGTGTTCCTGCGTCCTCGCGGTGTGTGACCGTCACCTTCACCGGCTCCAGGTCGGCCGGAAGAGACTCTTCGTCTATATCAGGATCAGGGGTCACAGGGGTCATAACCCCGGCCGGCCTTTGCACGGGGAAAACGTCCCGCAGCGGGTTGGCATCGCTGCAGTTGTATGTAGCGCAGATCTGGTAGCTGGCGGCGTGATACATCAGAAGTGTGTTGGTGTGATCGTCCAGGCACCAGACGGCCTCGTCGCCCCAGCAGCTGGCAGACGAGACCATGGACAGCACGCAGGACGGCGGGAGATACGGCTCGAGGCGGCGGATGGGCTGAAGCGCCAGGCTGTCGATGACCAGCACGCCGGGCATTACCCATAATAGGGGCACTTTAAATGAAATAATAATTTTTTTTTTTTTAATAATAATATGTCGTACCTGGGCACCCAGATGGTGCTGTTGACAGGAATGATGTTCAAGGCCTTCAGCTGCGCTGGTGTGTGGCTTTGAGCCGCTAGTTCTGGATCTGTTGCGCTCCTGGATGGAAATGCTTCCGCTGAAACCGGCTCGTCCGGCGGTCTGTCCGCCTCCTCGAAGTCCGTGGATAAAAGCATGCTGCTGGAGCTGGTCAGAGAGCTGAGGGCTCCCGAGCTGGAGCGCTCCACGTGAGGGAAATGGCCGATCTGATCCAGCTGCTCCGAGCTGAAGCCGGAGGACGTCATGGAGCAGTAATCCAGCGAGTCCTGCTGGCACAAGATCTGTGTTCCTGCGTCCTCGCGGTGTGTGACCGTCACCTTCACCGGCTCCAGGTCGGCCGGAAGAGACTCTTCGTCTATATCAGGATCAGGGGTCACAGGGGTCATAACCCCGGCCGGCCTTTGCACGGGGAAAACGTCCCGCAGCGGGTTGGCATCGCTGCAGTTGTATGTAGCACAGATCTGGTAGCTGGCGGCGTGATACATCAGAAGTGTGTTGGTGTGATCGTCCAGGCACCAGACGGCCTCGTCGCCCCAGCAGCTGGCAGACGAGACCATGGACAGCACGCAGGACGGCGGGAGATACGGCTCGAGGCGGCGGATGGGCTGAAGCGCCAGGCTGTCGATGACCAGCACGCCGGGGCCATTAGTGTACCACACCTCTGATCCGGAGCGCACCGGCACGATGCTGCGCACAGCGTACGGACGCTGCCGAGGGTCCGAGTCCTCCATGTTCAGAAGATGCTTGTTGATCGTGTGCGAGCAGATGTAAGTCTCACCTTCGACAGGCATGTCGTCTACCAGAGAATAAACCACCACGAGACCGTCAGACATGCCAGCGAACACCTGCGGGAGAGACTGAAACACAAGGACATAACGTCAATAAATGTTTTATATTACTGTATATTATATTATGTTAAATGTTTTTCCTTAATACAATAATACTTATATTAATATAATTATTTATTAATATAACACATTTTATAAATATATGCTCACATTAATATAATTATTAATATTTGTATAAATATATATTATTATAACATAAAAAGTGTATTATGTAATATATTATATTATGGAATTTTACTTATTGACTTACATTAATATAGTTATTTATTAATATAATATTTTTACATATATTAATATATTATATATATTGCATATATTAATGTAAAAATATTACATTACTAAACCATATTAATAGTTATATTATATATATCATGTTACACTAATATATATATATTTATGTAACATAATACATTATATACTACTGTATTATGAATTTTTACGTAATACAATATCTGCTTATGTTAATATAATTATTTATTAATATAATACTTTAACATGTTTACGCGATAGAATATTAAATTTAATGTTATTTGTAAATAACATTTGTAAATCTATATATTATATCAAGATAAGATTATAATACAATACAATAATATATAATAATAATACATTTTTAAGTAATACTATATTAATTTTTACTTATTATAATAATAGTTGCTTCCATTAATATAATTATTAATAAAATAGCTTTTAATAAAATAAAATAAAATAGAATAAAATAGAATAGAATAGAATAAAGTGTACGTTTGTATGGTCCTCACCACTAGCAGCACCAAAACAAAATATGACCAGAATAATGACCATTTTCAACTAGATTTCTAAAACGTTCCCCCATCAGCCAAAAACTCTTACTTTTCCATCATGTCGAGATCACAAGAAATAAGTTGTCACTCAGAAAATGCATATAATGCACAAAACATAAATCTGGAAATTCTGTCTGCTATGAACTCGAAATGCTGCATATTTCAACACAAGATTTCTGAGAGCTTCAGCTCCATTCTGACAAACAATGTACATGTGGATGAACTCTAGTTGAGATGGTTGATTCACATCATCTCTAGCTTTTTTGTCCCATACATTTTTTGGTTTGGCCTTTTGGGCAGAATTTCCCCTCTGCACTGGAGCACAAACAGAAGACAGACATTATTTCTGCAATTCATCTGTTGCCACTAGTCATATAGAAATCACACATTTCTTCTGTAACTTTGTTTAATAATTTAAGAAGATTATAAATTCTGTTGTGAACTGTCCTGATGTATTTAACTTCTAAATGGCCTGGCTGTCTGAGGATCTTTACAAATGCACATCGTCATCATAAAACCAAACAACATCCTGTCAAACCATGCACAACATTTATTCTCTGAATATTTTAGTCCGCCTTCACATGCATTTTTGAACAAGTGCCATATCTAAAAGCGTTTCCTCCCTAAAACCGCCCTGACAGCCCCAAACCAGCTGCGTGCTCCTTCCCTGATCTCCACAACTACTTTTGACATCCAGTTTGTCAGTGACCCCGCAGCGAATGGACGACGGGAACAGAGGGCACTTCAAAGGGAGCGAGGCTCATTTAAGAGTGTGTTTGGAGAAGCGTTGAGGACTGAATCTGTCATTGGGACGTCCGCTGAAGAGAGGGAGAGCGGGAACACCTGGATCACAGCGACTGGAGAGCAGGATGAGAAAAGCCTGCCCACTTACCCAAAATATCAAGCCTGCTGTTCTTACCTGGCCAACAATTTAGTCTGATTTGCTGGTTTTAGAGGGTTTTTTTGGCACTTGTTAACTGTTTTTAATACTTAGGGGAATAGTTTAACAATCAAAAATGAAATTTTGCTGAAATTTTACTCACCCTCAGGCTGTCCAAGATGTAGATGAGTTTGTTTCTTCATCAGAACAGATTTGGAGAAACGTATCATTACCAGTGTTGGGCAAGTTACTTCCAAAATGTAATACATTATATATTACTAGTTACTGTCTTTTGAAAGTAATTAGTTACATTACAATATTACTGTCTCTGAATTGTAATGCGTTACACTACTTTTGAGTTACTTTTGAGTTACTTTCACCAAAATATCCACAGAAGTATTATAAAATGCCAAAATGTAGTTTATTGCTGCTCATTCTACACCCAGTGGAGGGTAATGTGGTAGGTCTATATAGCATAAAATATATGAAATTATATTTAGATACCGGTATGTAGGTCTACATTAATGTTACGTTGTAGTTTAGGTAAAAAAAATATAGTAAGCACAAATCGCATTATTACATTCATAAATAACACCAGTAAATAAAGCGAAATATTATCATGTACAAACAATAAACACAACACCTAGCCTATAGGCAATTTTGAACGGTTTCAGAAGAAAACAAGAATGAAAAATATAAGTTAAACAAGCCAAAATGAATTAGTCTAATTCAATGCGAATCTGAAAGCAAATGGCGTTCTCGCGCAGCCTACCTCTCTCATTCGCCATTAATCCAATTAAATGTGTCCATATTTGCGACGTATTTGAATGCTAAACTATTATTTATTATGTAAACCAAGCTTACTTAACGCACTTAAAAAACATCCTCGTCACATGAGCAAATGTGTGTTTGGCCCGAGCTCAGGCTGAACGGCACGGATTGTACTACGCAGTAGGCTACGCACTATTTAAATTAACCAGTGTATCTATATGTTTGGTTGACTGTATTTTATTCTGATAATGAACAGGCTGCAACGTTTGCAATGCTGTATGTGTGTGCATGAGGCGCCGGCGCGATCGAACAGCGGAAACAAACAACAAAAAAATACTCTGTATTTTTGGTCATACAGATCATTCGAAACTGCAATGTGTTTACTTTATTTCTGTCATCTCGGTTTCCTTTCCCTGGACTTTCGTAGAGCGCCGCGCCACACAAATAGCAGATGAACCAAACTCAGCAGCATAGCCTATCTCTCAGTCTTTTCCTTTCGTTTTGTTAATCTGTTAATTAGGCTATTTAAGTCAAATATTTCGCATATTCATTCATTTTATATATACACTATGATTTAATAAAAACAGATTTTATTTTTAGTTAAACTTAATTTTTGTTGCTCGTCCGCCGTCTTTTTCTCTTCTCCGACCCCGCAGCTCTCTCCGGTAGCTTAGTGTTAGTGGCACCAGTCTAGGTGTTTCCAGGTTTTACTCGTGCTATTTCTCCATGTTGAGAGTTTGGTGTTGCACATATTGCACCTGACTATGCATTCTTATCCTTTTCTCCGATGAACTGAAAATAACAGGAGTGTGTCCATCTCACAAATGTAGAATCCGTCTCCGCAGTCATCTCAACCATCTAATTCCAGCAACAGAAGATAGACAAACTATTTTACCCGCGGGTGCCGTCAGAATAAGAGTCCAAACAGCTGATAAAAACATCACAGTAATCCACACCACTCCAGTCCATCAGTTAATGTCTTGTGAAGTGAAAAGCCGCATGTTCGTAAGAAACAAATCCATCATTAAGATGTTTTTAACTTTAAACCATTGCTAATCTGTTCATAAAATTGTTTTCTCCAGTGAAAAGTGGTTTTGTCTGAATCAGGAGAGAAATACGCAAAGATCAAGCACCGTTTACAAGCAGAAACAGTCCAATACAGCTCTAAACAAAAATGTGGGTGGATTTTGATGTGAGAGAACAACAGGGGATGGACTTTTTAAATAGAGGAAGCATTATTATGGATTATGGGCTCATATTTTGACCAGAAACAACAGTTTAAATTTAAAACACTAATGATGGATTTATTTCTTAAAAACATGCAGCATTTCACTTCACAAGACATTAACTGGTGGACTGGAGTGCTGTGGATTACTTGTGGATTATTGTGATGTTTTTATCAGCTGTTTGGACTCTCATTCTGACGGCACCCATTCACTGCAGAGCATCCACTGCTGAGCAAGTGATGGAATGCTACATTTCTCCAAATCTGTTACAATGAAGAAACAAACTACATCTTGGATGGCTTGAGGGTGAGCACACTTTCATTTTTGGATGAACTATTCCTTTAATTTGAGGAGATCCCTTTGATATAATTTGTTTTTACTTTGTATATCTAAACCAAGAAATAAAAAAACATACAAGAACATGATCAGCAGAAGCATAGTTTACATGACAATGACTGCACGCCGGGGCACTGACCTCTTTCCTGGCGGGCAGTAAAAAGAGACAGGTTACCACAGCCGGACAGGAGAGCAGTTTCTGCGGGTGACTCAAGGGACACATCTCTTTCAGGCTGTAGATAAAGACTTCCTGTTCCTGCAGAAACAGCAACAAGGTATCAAGATAAACATCTCCATTCATTTGCTGCTCACTTACAAACAGGGTTGGGAATCGAGAAATGCCTCTTATTCAGAACAATTTTTGGGACTTCTTACTGGGACCAACTGAATTTCAGGATGTTTGGCTCCACCAGACGTTCACTGAATAAAGCATTTGCACACGCTGTCATTGTGTTGCATTAAAATGCATGTGTCTTTTCTTGGTATATGCGCTACTTCAGATGGTTTGTGAGTAAAGATGGTGATTGCAATATAATTCTTACACTTTAATGCTTGAAACAAAACAAAACAATATAAAACAGACTAAAAATGACAAAATGTGTAGCCTTTACACCATTTTAAAGGTGATTTGCACTGATTTTTGATGTTGAAATACTTAAACACAGTTATTCTGTGCTCTATGTTTCAAATACACAATTATTCTAAGTTTGGGATTTTTTAATGTTTTTGAATGAAGTCTCTTCTGCTCATCAAGGCTGCATTTATTTGATAAAAAATACAGTAAAAAACAGTATTATTGTGAAATATTTTTACAATTTAAAAATAACTTTTATTGTTTTTATATATTGTAAAATGAAATTTATTCATGAGATGTAAAGCTGAATTTTCAGCATCATTACTCCAGTATAAAGTGTCACATGATCCTTCAGAAATCATTCTAATATGCTCATTTATGGCTCCAGAAACATTTATTATTTGTTATCAATGTTGAAAACACTTGTGCTTCTTCATATATATATATTTTTTGAAAGCTGATACAATACTTTTTTCCAGGATTTTTAGATGAATAGAAAGAACAGAATTTATTTGAAATAGAAATCTTCAGATACATTTTAAACATCTTTACGGTCACTTTTGATCAATTTAATGCATTCTTGCTGAATAAAACTATGAATTAAAAAAAAAAAAACTAAACTTTTGAACAGTTGTGATTAAACACATCTCTTAAAATGATTAAAATCTTAACCTAGAGGCATCAGAATCGGGACAGTCTCAACTAATAGTGTGAGTTTGGGGCAGAAACATCAGTTTGTTCAGGAAACCTGTCTGAAAATGGTCATTATTTCCGCTGTTCTGCTAATGGTGGATAAATTACACACAAGACTTGTGCAACAAACATTTGGTTTGACATAAATTACAACAATCTCCTTTACTGTGAGAACCAAATGCCCTCGGCATCTATTCATTAGTGCTGTTTCCTTGGTAACGATCCTGCGCTGTTGAAACGAATGCTGCGACTGACAGCTGAACGAACCTCAGTGGCCGTCCACAGGCTGTTCTCCATCTTCATTTGGCAGCTCAGACGTGTTCCCGGGCATGGCATCCGCTTCACCTCCACCTGCCCCTTGGCCAAGTTTACCACCGTGTAATTCCTGTAGGACACACACAAAGAAACATAAATGTGTCTTTTGGGACACAGCAGTTATGAAATCCACATTTTGAAGCACTAAAATTACAAACCAAATAAAGACTAAAACTAAAATAAACAATACCTAAATAGTAACATTAAAAAATAAATAAATAATTGTGAAGCAAATGTGAGTGGTGCTTTTCTTGGGGTTATCATTAACTAAAACTAAAATTAAAACTATTAAAACATTTTTGTTAATTGAAATCAATCTGAAATAAAATATAATAAAATAAAACAGACTAAAATGAGAAATATTGCATTGGCAATATTTCTGGATGGATGGACGGATGGGTGGACGGGTGGGTGGATGGATGGGTGGACGGGTGGATGGATGGATGGACGGGTGGATGGATGGATGTGTGGATGGGTGGATGGATGGATGGATGGA